TTTTCACATTTCAACCGCTGTAACTCAGCTAATCCTCAACCGATTTACCAATTATATATCTTGTTTGAGAGGAAAAATTGTACTCTTCGAAAGAAAAAAATAATAGTATAAATCCGTTGTAAAGTAAATAAGTTATTCAAGTTTCAAATAGAAAATCCATGCAACCACGTTTTTCTCTATATTTACCGTTATAAAATTAATTTTCGAAGTGACCCAGAAAAACCAAAGGTATTTTCGTGGTCCAGAGACTCCAACTAAACAGAATTGGTACATTAGAAACCCTGAAAAAAAAATTTTTGTTATTTTGTAGCACAGTGTAATTTACAAGGCAAAACACTCATATATCACTCGCATGCTGATTTTCACACACGCACACACGTACAAAGAAAACACACGCATAAATTCCCACACTCTGATTTAAGTATCTAAAAACACATAAAAAAAACGTGTATATATGAATACGCGAACATATGGTACAATATGTTCGGCTTGTATTTGGAAAAGTGACGGTTCCAAGAATGTGCGTGTGTTTGTGTGAGTATGTATTTTCAATGTGAGATATAGACACGTTTTCCATTCTCACATCCTTGATACGCTGGTATGTTTGTGTACATTTACAAATTATTAGGGTTGACCATATGGTGTTGTGAAATTTAAGTAAATTAAACTGTCTAAAATATAATGAAGGATATTTTATCCTTAATTGGAGAATATTATGTTTTATTTGTATTTGTTTCTTTTATTAAGGATAATTTACAATAATTACAATGCCTAACCAAAGGGTGGTCGAAATTTGGGGACAGAAGTTTTTGACATGCCCTATATTAATGTAATAAGCACCCCAATTTCTTTTAATCCATCCTTAAGGCTTCAAATTGTTGATAGACGTTGTTTGCTTGTTCATATTTTAAAGCATTTTCAATTTAAATTGACTATTTGTATCAAACACCTCCTATTGGGTACTAACACTTATACAATCTCCCAACAGACTTTCATCAACACAAACACATTTGCTCAAATATTTGTCATTTTGCTAATCATAATCGGTAAATACCACAGATGACCAAACGAATGAATAAATGTCTTATTAAATTTGGATGTTTGTGTTACTAATGTGTATGCTATTGGACATGATTGTGTTTGCTTGTTTATTTATTTTCCCCCAATGTATACTCAGTATGTGTGCTAGTGAACTTTAACAGTTATAATTGCATTTCTGATACTTCACTTCTACTGAAGTGTTCAAGAACAGAAGAGAATGAGATAATATTGCATGACTTAATTTCATCCAGTGGATAGTTTACGAAATGAAAGGATGTCATTTGGTTATGTCATGAATTGCATGGCTTTTGTAAAACAAATAAAGAGTTTTACGGTCTGAAGGCAGATATATGGAATCTTAAAAGAAAATTAAAAACATCTACCCTTGAAGTAGCACCAGACGTCTTGGTGGGGCTACAGAAAAAAATATTTAATAAAAAACCAGTGAGCGGAGAAGTATAGTCGGACGGTGCCGACCATATAATCCCCACACAACTACCACGAACTTTCTGCGGTTCTATGTATATTCTGAGCCTGGGCAATATTTCGTGATATTTGCACCCTTTTTACCCTTTTTTTTCATTGCACCCCCTGAATGAAATCTCAACTTCACCGAAAACTATAGTCGTCGTCGTTGACCATAATCAGAACTTCATGTACAATGTCAAAGCGATCAGCGCGACAATTCCGTCCTCTAATGGAGTAATAGTAATACTATGCACATAATCACCTTTACCTAATTATACCCTACACAACTATGTTGTCAGGGTATTAAAGCTTTGTTAAACCCCAGGAGTTTGTAACGCCGCGAAATATTGGTCCTAGACACACCTTTAAGTATACCGATCGTCATATCTCGACTAGCTGCGTCGATCTAGACATGTGTGTCCGCCCGTCCGTCCGTCTGTCCATTATAATTTGTAAACACGATACAGGCCCCAGTTATGGACCAATCTTCACGAAATTTTGCATGTAGGATGGGTTCTGGCCAATGAAGACCCCTATTGTTTTTGGTAATCGATTTATGTTTAGGGAATGAAATGAACCAAATACTTAATTTTTGTCGGTTTTTCTGGTCCCTCCAGAGGCCGCAATTATGGTCCAAACATCGCGAATTTTTACATGGAGAATGGATGATCAGATTATAATATTGGAATGAAGTGGGCCGAAAACTTAATTTTTTGTGTTTTTTGAGTCGATGCCAATAATAGGCCGAACGTCATAACACAACACACGGTAATTAGAAGGGCTGTACTGAATATGAATAGTTATATTCGGAAAATATGTCAGTGTAAGGAAGAGGTGCTGTTGACCTCTAATCGGGCCAGATTGAACAAATATATCGGCCCCGTCCAACTATACTGCTCCGCTGACTGGTTACGTACAACTCCCATATCAGAGCACATACAAACATATAATTAATATCAATTTGAAGGTCAACAACCCATCTTGGATATGCTATCAACTTCTCGGGTATATGTACTTCAGGAGCAATTATATACGCCCCAGAATAAAAATGTTGTAATTTTTCACACAAAAGTCAGGGTCTATTTGACCCGCTAAATATTGACCGATCATTATCAAAACTGACCCCATCTTATTTTTTGGCCCGATCCCTTTCACGACGTTCTGACTATAACTTCTTCCTCTGGAGCGATCAGAAAACCCGACAAAATTAGGTATTTGGTTCATTTCATCCCCTAAATATTAACCGATCTTTACCAAAAACAAAAAGGATCTTCATTGACCACAACCCATCCTACATGCAAAATTTCGTGAAGATTGGTCCATAACTGTGGCCTGTATCATGTTTACAAATTATAATGGACAGACGGACGGACGGGCACACATGTCTAGATCGACTCAGCTAGATATGGCGATCGGTATACTTCAAGGTGGATCTCCCTTCAATATTTCGCTACGTTACAAACTCTTGGGGCTGCACAAAGCTATAATACCCTGACAACATAGTTGTGTAGGGTATAAATATTATATAAAAATCGAAGAATCAGAAAAGGTATTGTTCATAAAGGTATTAATAAAATCGAAGTTCTGCTAGGTATTCGAGAAAAAAACCTATCATTTTAAAATCTTTTCACGCCTGTTTCTAATCCGAAGAGGCCATATAAAAGTCGACCAAGGCGATCGGCCGAGAATATCGCTGCAGTACGAGCCAGTGTTTAGAGGCCCCCAAGAACATCCCAAAAACGCCGTTCTCAGCAATTGGGCATGGTTCGGTCCACTTTACAACGGATTATTCACATTGATTTGCATTTGTTCCCGTACAAAATTCAATTGACGCAAAGAATGTTGCCTGCGGACAAACCTCGTCGATTGGAATGGGCCCAAAGAGTCATCGAAATGGCCGAAGATGACGAGCAATTTTGGAACAAAATTATCATGTCCCATGAGCAAAATTGTCGTTTTTACGCCACTTAAAATCCTCAGGAGATTCAAGAAGTGCCTCTTCATGACGAAAAAGTCACAGTTTGGTGCGGCGTTAGTGCGAAAACGGGTGTTCTTCCAAAATGAAAATGGCCATGCTGTTACTATCAATCAGGAGCGTTATCGCGACATGATGACCAATTTTGTGATGCCAATTATTCGTCGAAAGCGTATGAGGCAGTTCTGGTTTCAACAAGACGGCGCTCCACCGCACACAAGTCGCATAACAATCGATTTTCTGAAGAATTTGTTTCCGGGCCGTTTGATGTCGATAAGTGGTGATTTGGATTGGCCACCGCGTTCGCCCGATTTGACGCCGCCTGACTTCTTCTTGTGCGGATATTTGAAGTCAAAGGTTTACGTTAACAAGCCAAGGACCGTAGAAGAGCTCAAGGACAACATTCGTGAAGAAATAGCCGCTATTCCGCCCGAAATGTTGGCAAAAACGATGGAAAATGCAGCAAAAAGGGCACAATACGTCATCAACGCCAGAGGAGGCTATTTGGGAGATATCATATTCAAAAATTGATGTAAACAAATCTACTTGGAACAAATTAAATGATTAACATTGCCAACCGCCAAATTTTTTAATTTTTTTCTTTGAATTTTACAAAAAAAAAAAAAAAAAAAAACATGGGTCCTTTGAATATGGGCAACCCTGTACTTTCACAGGTCTTAAGAAATAACATTATTTAAAATCTGTGATCTGTTATATATTTAGAATTTTTTTATTGTTGATAAATTCAAAAATTTTAATATATACTTACCAATTATAATTTTTTCTTTTCATATTTTCAGAATAATGCTCAATTATGTTGTTATGGCGAAATGAAATGAGCTTATAAATGATAATTCAATAAGCCTTAATTACTGTGGCTAAAATAGACTGGAATCCAGCCACCACAGCTGGCATTTACATATGTCACCATTAAGGGCGGAATTCATTCAGTTGTGTTCTTAGATCATACTACAACAACAAAACGCTTTTTTCTTTAAAAAGGAGTCGTGTGAATATAAATATGTCAGAATAACAACATTTACATACGCAATATTTCCATCAAGTAATTTCTCTCGGAAAGGATCACATTTTATAAATAGACAGACCGACAATAATAACAAGGATAATGAGAAATTAATTGAATTAAAAAAACAAAGAAATTCTATTCAATTCAAATTCGTTACCTGCTAACAATGGAAATGAGCTGAAAAAACAACAACAATTACTCAGCACAACAAATTCCGAAATTCAAAAAAATCAAAACCCATTCAAAAGAAAATCCTTCACTTCAAAAGACTAAAAAGGGAATAACAGAAAATAGAAATAAAGCCGGTTGTTCCCCACCCCATATTCATTGTAAATATCTATGTCAATTCACTGTAAGAAGAACAAAAATAACATCAACAACAACAATAACGGTAACATTAATCATCATTCCATTGCTGCTAATATTGTCTAGACAACAGTGACTCATTCCAACACCACCACCCCCCACAAACCCATCAAAGTGTGGCCAAATAAATGTCAACATGAGTTTTTTAAGTTCCATGCAACAGTATGTCACCAGTGGCATTAGCAGCCTTGGTCTGGGAAATCGCCGATTTTCACTCTCCAAACAGGATGCCAATGAAAATCAAGCACAGAATCCAGTTATGGGCACAACACCACTGCCCACACCAAATATACAACCAGCCATTGGATCGGGTAGTACGGCAAGCAATATTTTTAATGTTGTTGCACCGACAGTTGGCACCGGTTCTGGCGCACCGGGTACCATGGGTAATTACCCTAGTGGCGGAGTTGTAATTGGCAATCCGAATGCTACAAATCCATTATTGGGTAAGTAATGAAGAGTATAATTAAATAAAAATAAATAAATTATAAGACAATAATAAAGGTCGCTGAATTAAAAAAATCACAATCAGACTAGAATTAGGAATTAAAAAGTAGAACATTATATTAAACCAATAAGGAAAGCAGTAAAGTCGGACGGGGCCGACTATATGATACCCTTAACCACATTCGGTAAATTCAACAGATGAATCCTCACACCTGTCTCATTTTTGAAGGACCAGTAAAGTTAAATTGGATCCATAAACAGATATAGAGTTGCTTCTTACAATGGGACAAAATTATGTACACCAATTTAAAGCAAATATCAATCGGACACCCGTTGATTATTTGGATAAATATCTGATAAATCTCCTCATGTTTATGTTTAGTGCAGCATTTACGTCAAATCGGGAGAATATATATATGGTAGCTCTATCCAAATTTGAAAATATTTCAACAAAATTTTCCACATGCTAGGTTATATTAATTTGAGTAAGTTGTGCAGAATTGTGTTTCAATCGGACTAACTATGAGTCTTTGGTGTACCATTTACTTCAAATCGGACAAAGCTATATATGGGAAATATATCTAAATCGGAACCGATTCCTACAAATCTTGGCAAACGTTAGGCAATATTAATGTCTTTGGATCTTTTGTGCACCTTTTATTTAAATCGGACGAAACTATAAACTTTGGGTCTTTATATTCTACAATAAAGACTCATATAATCGGAAGAAAAAATGTGTAGGAGCTATGTCTAAATCTGAAACTTAACCCACATCATTCTAGACTTTTTTTTCAAATTTGGTGCACCATTTACATTAAATCGGACGAAACTATATACGGAAGCTATATCTGGGCCGATTTTCAGTAAACTTAACACATCTTTTTCTAGACCAGATTTATTGCGCTATGACAAACTTCGCGCAAATTGAATCTGAATCTGAACCGATTTTCAGGAGATTAACACATAGACTAGACTTAATTCAGTGTCCCATGCAGAATTCCGTGCAAATCGATAGATATATAGGGACTTTGGTATACCATTTACATTAAATCCGACGAAAATATATATGGGAGCTATATCTAAAACTTAACCGATTTTTACGAAAGTTAACACACATCATTCTAGACTTAATTCAGTAGGCAATGCCAAATATCGTGCAAATCGAAAGATATATAGGACCTATGGTACACCATTTACCTTAAATCGGACGAAAATATATATGGGAGCTATATCGAAATCGCAACCGATTTTCAGGAAACTTAACACAAATCATTCTAGACCTGATTCATTACGCTATGCGAAATTTCGTGCAAATCGAAAGACATATATGGACATTCGTGCACCATTTATATTAAATGGTACGAATATGTATATGGGATCTATATTTGAATCTGAACCAATTTTCAGGCTTAACACACATCATTGTAGACTTAATTCAGTACTCCGATTTGTCCCAATTTCAATAGGGTCCGTCCTTGGGCCAAAAAATTTAAATATAATTTTGTTATAAAAAAAAAAACGAAATTATATTTAAACTAGTGATCGGAGCTGTATAGTCGGACGGGGCCAACCACATGATACTCTACACAACTTCCTCGAAAATCTAACTTTCTGTGGTTGTATATTCTGAGCTTGGGCAATACTTCGAAATTGCGGCCTATAAATCGACCCAAAAAAATACCACAAAAAGTTAAGTTTTCGGTCCACTTCACACCAAAATTATTATATGATCGTCACCGAAAATTATAGGCGTTGTCCTTGACCGTAATTGGAATCTCATGGAAAATTTCAAAGCGATCAGCGTTATATTTCCGCCGTCTAGTGTGGTAATGGGTTACTAAATAATGTCTGAATACGTAAGCACCTGTAAATATTTAATTGTAACTCCCACATCTGAGGACATATGACCATATAATTGGTATCAATTTAAAGGTCAACCACTCCCCTTGAACGTACTATCAACTTTTCGGATCTATGTTCTTCAGGGCAAATATATACGTCATAGAATACAAATTTTGCCATTTTTCACACAAAAGTCAGGGTCCATTTGACCCGCTAAATATTGACCGATCTTTATCAAAACAGGACTTGGGTCTAGGTCCTCCAGGGGCAAATATATACGTCATATAATACAAATTTTGCCATTTTCCCACAAAGTCAGGGTCCATTTGACCCGCAAAATATTGGCCGATCTTTATCAAAACAGGCATGCTTATTCATTGGGCCGATCCCCTTTCTCCATACAAAAATTCGTGGTGTTTGGGCTATAATTGCGGCCTCTGGAGCGACCAGAAAAATCGACAAAAATAAAGTTTTTGGTCTATTTCATCCCTTAAATATTAACCGATCTTTTCCAAAAACAATAGGGACCAGAACCCATTCTACCTGCAAAATTTCGTGAAGATTGATCCATAACTATGGCCTGTATCGTGTTTACAAATTATAATGGACAGACGGACGGACACACATGTCTAGATCGACTCAGCTAGTCGATATATGACGATCGGTATACTTAAAGGTGGGTCAAGGACCTATATTTCGCGGCGTTACAAACTTTTGGGGCTGCACAAAGCTTTAATACCATGACAAAATGGTTGTGTAGGGGTTAAAAATTTGTATTTTATGGCGTATATATTTACTCCTGAAGGATATAGACCCGAGAAGTTGACAGTGTATCGAAGAGGAGTGGTTGACCTTTAAATTAATACCAATTATATTGTCGTATGAACTCGGATGTGGGAGATACACGTAAATATTTACAGGTGGATACGTATTTATATATTACTTAGTAACTCATTACCACACTAGAGGGCGGAAATGTAGCGCTGATCGTTTTGTAATTTTCCATGAGATTCCCGTTATGGTCAACGACAACGCTTATAATTTTCGGTGATGATCAGATAATAATTTTGGGATGAAGTGGACCGAAAACTTATTTTTTGTGTTTTTGTTTTCGAGTCGATCTATAGGCCACAATTGAAAGCCGAACATTACAACACAACCCACGATGAACGAAATCTGGACAAGTACACCCCTCGTCTACTGAATATTAGAAATATTTGTTGACATCTAGTCGGTCAAGAGGGTGCAAATATCGCGAAATATTATCCAAGCTCAGAATATATAGAACCACAGAATGTTAGATTTTCGTTGAAGTTGTGTAGGGTATCATATGGTCGGCCCCGTCCGACTATACTGCTCCGCTCACTGGTATAATGTTCGATCTTCGAAGTCTTCAGAAAAAAATATTATTGATAAACTAAGGTCCAATAAATCCAATTGAGACAAAATATTATAAAAATCTTCCAGAAAAAATAATCAATTCAGTTTGGTATTTGTTTGTCGGAATGTGTGTGTGACACATTTTACTTTAAGGTAAGCCAGCATAATCCTTCTACATTTGACTACATTTTTTGGTAGTAACATGTAAAAATTGTTAGCCGTTTAAGCTCTAATTAAACATTTTTTTAATTTATCTAAAGCCTATTAAGACCCCTCGAAATCTTGAAGGTTGTGATAGGTTATGTACTCAACGCGCATGAGTATATTTATGCATATTTTAACATCATATTATTCTTAATACATTTCAAAATGTAATATAAATTTTTCATTATACCCACACCAGTCAACCATTTCAATTTGCCCAACTCTTCATTTCTTCTGTTCACTTTATCTGCCAATGTGATTTATTTATAATTCCTCTTCTGTAACGATATTTTTTCCTTTTGGATTCAAATCTCCTTTGCCGTTTACAATTAGAATAATTGGAAAGAGTTGACTTAAATGATTTCCCATTAGCTTTTTTGTTGTTATCCTTCAGTTCTTTTGAAAAGGTTACAAAAAAAACATATTTTTCCGACATTGCATATTTATAATGGACAGAGAGAAAAAGGGTACAGTTGCTTGTCAGAATTCTCAAGTGTCGGAGATTGAAAAGTTTTTTTAATTAAAAATTCATGATTAACCCCTTTGTTTTTTTTTGTGCGTTCTTGGAGAATAATTCGTTCATTTAAATAACATTTCCATGTAGATTAATTGTAGCAATGTTTCCTTTTCTAGTGAAATTAATTATTGAAATGAAGCCGTTTCTGCAGAGAATAATTTTGAAAAATATCAATGTCCTGCAAAGATAAGGAGACAGTGGAAATTATGTATATTATAAAAATTAAAAAAAAATTTTGAAAAATATGAATTGCCTGCAAAGAGATGGAGACAGTGAAAATTGTGTATATTTCAAAAATTATAACATAAAAAACACATAGTTAATAAAAAATAAAAGTTTACACTTTACTTTTTTAGCGAATTTTACTACTGTATTAAATAAAAAATATGTTTTTGTTATTCCTTTCTTTAGGTTATCCAAAAGTTGTACCCTCATCGGGCGTGACTGCGGGCATGAACACCAGCACCACATCTGCTGCATCAACATCATCAGCCTCGAATACACCAGTTAGTTCACGTCGTCAATCACGTGCCCTAGAAGCTATGGCTCCACCACAGCGTGGCGGTTCATTTCGACATCGAAATCCACCGGCCCAACAGGCAGAGCCGTCACCAAGACCACCGTTGGCATTTTGTAAAAGACGTCTATCATGGCCGGAAGTGGATCCACGTTCAAATTCTGGGTAAGTTCAAATGCTCCGAAGGCTACAAACCCAGATATTATAGATAATTACTTTGAAGGACGCTCGTGTTTATAAATAAATATTCAGGGGTTCTAATGTACCGATTCTTTTTAGTTGGAGTCCCTGGAATACGAAAATACCTTTGGGTTTTCTGGGTCACTTCGAAATTTAGTTTTATAACGGTAAATGTATAGCAAAACGTGGTTCATAGATTTTCAATTTGGAAAAATATTCAGGGGTTCTAATGTACCGATTCTGTTTAGTTGGAGTCCCTGGAACACGAAAATACCTTTGAGTTTTCTGGGTCTCTTCGAAATTTAGTTTTATAACTGTAAATGTATAGAAAACGTGGTCTCAAAGATTTTCAATTTGAAACGCGAATAACATGTAGGAGGTGTTTTTTTAAAAGATCGGTTAATATTTAGGGGATGAAATGGACCAAAAACTTTTCTAGTCACTACAGAGGCAGCAATTATTTCCCAAACACAGCGAATTTTTGCATGGAGAAGGGGATCGGGCCAAAGAATAAGCATGCCTATTTTGATAAAGATCGGTCAATATTTAGCGGGTCAAATTGACCCTAACTTTTGTGTGAAAAATTACAAAATTTGTATTCTATAGCGTATATATTTACCACTGAAGGACATAGACCCGAGAAGTTGCTAGTATATAAGAGGTGTGGTTGACCTTTAAATTAATACCAATTATATTGTCGTAGGTACTCGGATGCGGGAGTTACACTTAAATATTTACAGGTTCTTGCGTATTCATATATTATTTAGTAACCTATTACCATACTGGAGGGCGGAATTATAGCGCTGAGCGCTTTGAAATGTTCCATGAGGTTCCAGTTATGGTCAAGGACAAAACCTAAAATGTTAGGTGATGATCAGATAATAATTTTGGGATGAAGTGGACCGATAACTTAATTATTTCTACTTTTCGAGTCGAAAGCCAACATCACAACCCACGGCGAAGAGAATCTGCACAAGTAATCAGACGGGCTGTACAGATAATTAGTAAAATTTGCTGACCTCTAGCCAGTCAAAATTGTGCAAATATCGCGAAATATTTCCCAATCTCAGAATATAGAACCACAGAAAGTTAGATTTGCATGGAAGTTGTGTAGGGTATCGTATGGTCAGCCCCGTCCGACTATACTGCTCCGATCACAGGTTAGTGTTACTTTTAACCCACAGGAGGGCGGGTGATTGCTTTGAAATTTTACATGAAGTTCCGATTATGGTCAATGACGATGCCTATAATTTTCGGTGATGTTGAGATGGTGCTTAGGGTGCAATAAATCAAAATCTTTATTTTTGTAAGATTTTCTAATCGCTCTAGAGGCCATTGTTATATGCAGAATATCACATATTTTTTTTCGAAATATTGACCATGATGATCGGTCAATATTTCGAAAAAAAGGGGTCAAATCAACTACAACCTAAAGTGACCACAGTTTTATTTTATGGATTAAATATTCACCTCGGGAAAACAAGATTTGGAAAATATGCCAGCGTTAGAACGTGGAGCTGTTGCCCAGGCCCAGGCTCGATATAGAACCGCAGAAATTATAGTTTTGTGGAAGTTGTATAGGGTTTCATGTGATCGGCCCGTCCGACTATACTGCTCCGCTCACTGGTTCTTTTTTCTTTCGATGAGTTGAATTTTTCCTTTCAAACGAGATACATATATTTAAATCGGTTGAGGATTGGGTGAGTTACAGTGGTTCAAATGTGAAAAAATACGCATAAAAAGACAATCCCGTTTCCATATTATGTTTGTAACAGACAAAAGGAAACGAGATAGACCCATAGTTCCTTTATAGAATATGCATAGAATCAATACAGAAATGTGTATAAGTCATCCATTTTTAACCGATATTTTGGTTTTTCTCATTTTCGAAAGCTTAAATATATAGTTTGTTTTTGAGACTCATAATGAAATATAAAATTTGTTGAAAATGAGTTTTTATATTTTTTATTTGTAAAATATTCTGACCCGTATAAATCCGTTTTAATTGAGTTTTCAATCATGTCTGGATAAGTGAAGCGAAAAAACTCCTTCGGAGAGTCGACTGAGAAATAAGGTATTAGACAAAAATATTCCTCACATTTATATCAGAAATATTGATAAAAGACGCCATATACCCAAACTGCGTAGATTTCGAAAAATATTCATTTAAATATTTTTTAGTCCCTCTATCTTAATTTTTTTTTTTAATTTCGTAATAATTATCAAAAAATTGATATTTGTGCAACGTGCGCGTCAATTATCATAGCTAACTGGTAAAATATCCGCAGAATTCATTGTTTTCTGCTTCGACTCTCTACATTCAACCGATAAAAACTCTTAAAATTTCCGCTCCGGCTCGTCTAAAAAAAGCATTTGACACGTTAGTCAGCCAACGTAGACTCCGTACCTAATTATTGTTTTATTTTTTTTTAGATTTTCTTTATTGATTTATAAAAAATTACAATTAATGTGTCCTGCGAAGCTTTAGTTTTCGTCCATATACACATCCTGAATCTTATATACTCGGAGTCCATATAGAATTACAGGTCCTTCCTCTTAAAGATCAATCACAAAGACTTCATTGTCTTCAGCTCGTCTAGACCATCTATAGAACTTGTGGTTCTTCAGCTCAATTACGTAGGTACCCTAACTCTTCAAATAGTCCATATCGACTCTCTGGTCGTTCAAAAGCCCTTTGACCTTCAGGGTTGTCCATATTCGACGGACCCATCTGGCAACGCCATAACTTTTGACAGAGATGTCACATCGCTTAATGACATACCGCGTTTGAAGCGTCAGTCCAAGCAGATTTTTACCATGAACCAATACACGCCACGCGAGCGCTCTGAAATAGTTGACATTTACATTCAACAGAAGAAGTCAATTGTGAAAACTCAACGTGCTTTTAAAACATTAAAAAATGTGAGAAGTGCGCCTTCTAAGAAATGGCCGAAGATGACGAGCAATTTTGGAACAAAATTATCATGTCCGATAATGCCCATTTCACATTGAATGGGACCGTAAATAAGCAAAATTGCCGTTTTACGCCACTGAAAATCCTCAGGTGATTCAAGAAGTGCCTCTTCATGACGAAAAAGTCACAGTTTGGAGCGGCGTTAGTGCGAAAACGGTCATTGGGCTGTTTTTCTTCCAAAATGAAAATGGCCATTCTGTTACCATCAATCAGGAGCGTTAGCGCGACATGATGACCAATTTTGTGATGCCAATTATTCGTCGAAAGCGTATGAGGCTGTTCTGATTTCAATAAGACGGCGCTCCACCGCACACAAGTCGCATAACAATCGATTTTCTGAAGAAGTTGTTTCCGGGCCGTTTGATGTCGAAAAGTGGTGATTTGGACTGGCCACCGCGTTCGCTCGATTTGACGCCGCCTGACTTCTTCTTGTGGGGATATTTGAAGTGAAAGGTTTACGTTAACAAGCCAAGGACCGTAGAAGAGCTCAAGGACAACATTCGTAAAGAAATAGCCGCTATTCCGGCCGAAATGTTGGCAAAAACGATGGAAAATGCAGCAAACAGGGCACAATACGTCATCAACGCCAGAGGCGGCGATTTGAGAGATATCATATTCAAAAATTTATGTAAACAAATCTACTTGGAACAAATTAAATGATTAACATTGCCAATCGCCAATTTTTTTTTTCTTTGGTTAAAAAAAAAACATGGGTCAGTCAAATATGAGCAACCCTGTATAAAAGCCATTCTCAGCTCAATTATGATAAATCATTGACATTCAGCGCGTCTGTGATTACTCATTGATCTTCACATCGTCTATAAAACCTGTCTTCACTTCTTATATAAAGCAGAATTTTGCATCCAGAGTGTATGCAATGTTGTATTTCGGTTTATTTAGGGAAAATATTATTTTCAATTTAATATAAGTCCATAGTCGAATTTGTTTTTTTTAATTATTTGTTTTCAATGACACCTCATTCATTGACATATATAACTATGTCAATATAATAATAACTAATTTTTAATAATTATTTTAAATTATTTTTCGAATACACTAGAATACAAGCCACAGTATCTAGTGAAGTGACATCTGCACTGTCCAACTTCGTTTGGGGATAACAATATTCCGGTATATAATTATATTCCACTGATGAACCATTCAGATAGCTTACAACTGATCCCTTTAATTCTGTTGCACACACATAGCCCAATTGTCGCTGCTCCATTTCTCGGCCTTTAATTTGTTTAAGTCCCTTGCGATAAATTGTCATAACATCGGCTGTGAATGGAGTCCAAGGAAACCATAACTCTGAAACCAAATACATTTTTTTTTAATTTTATATAAAGTAAAATTAACTTCATACCCTCATTCATAATCGATTTTACAAAATCTGTTGTCAGCAGTGGATTATTTGTCATATACAATCGTGAACAAGCTGTCTTGGACTCATCGTAGCTATATTTTATTTTTATATCTACAAAATATAATATATATATTCGATGTCCACCACGTGAGGCAGTTTCGTCGACAAAATAAAATTGATCTCCGTGTCGAGCAGTGGTTTGGTTGATAAGCAAAAGGCAAACTGCTATGACTCTCCACAGTGATTTCATTGCTATCACTGGCATTATTGCCGTATTAAATAGATACGATTGTTTGTGGTATGTTTATATTGTGAATCATAAAATAAGCAATATATATATTTCTCGCCACATTTGTGGTCAAGGGTACTTTTGTGCTCTCTTAATTTTTATTGGGGTGATTTTTATTATTTATATTAATAAATGTAACAAGAGTTCTGAAATGTAAACTGTATATATTGCAAGATACGTTGTTAACATAAACCAGTAAGGACAGTAGTAAAGTCAGACTGGGCCGACTATATGATACCCTTCACCACCTTGGGTATATTCTACATATGTATCCTAACAGACGACAGGTTTTTGTTATATATCTATATCTGAACCGATTTCGGGAAACTTGCCAGAGACTAATTTATATTACGCCAGTACGTTGTGTCAATCGGCCTAGCTATGGATCTTTTCACGAAGCTTAGCAACAACTTAATTTAGTGCCGTATACCAAAATTCATGCAAATCGAAAGGTATATAGGGACTTTGGTGCACCAGTTACATAAAATCAGACGAAAATATATATGGGAGCTATATCTAAATCTGAACCGATGTTCACGAAACTTTGCACACATAATTCTAGACTTAATTCCGTACGCTATGCCAAAATTCGTTCAAATTAAAAGATTTCCAGGGACTTTGGTGGACCAATTACCTAAAATCGGGCGAAACTATATATGGGAGCTATATCTAAATCGGAGCCGATAGTCACGAAACTTTGCACACATCATTATAGACTTAATTTAGTACGCTGTGCCAATTTTCGTGCAAATCGAAAGATATATAGGGACTTTGGTGCACCATTTACCTTAAATCGGACGAAGATAAATATGGGTGCTATATCTAAATCTGAACCGATTTTCACGAAACTTGGCAGACATCATTCTAGGAACTTTCGTGGACTATTTACCTAAAATCGGTCGAAGCTATATATGGGAGCTATATTTAAATCTGAACCGATTTTCACGAAACTTTGCACACATCATTCTAGACCTTATTCATTACGCTGTGCCAAATTTCGTGCAAATCGAAAGATATATAGGGACTTTGGTGCACCATTTACCTTAAATCAAACGAAAATATATATGGGAGCTATAACTAAATCGGAACCGATTTTTCCCAATTTCAATAGGGTTCGTCCTTGGGCCAAACAAGTGAGCTGTGCCAAATTTCATCCAATTCGGATCATAAATGCGACCTGTACTTTGTTTACAATTTAACACCAACAGACGGACGGACATGCATAAATCGACTCAGAAAGTGATTCTATGCATATTCCTGAAAGGAACCATGGGTCTATCTCGATTATTTTTGCATGTTACAAACATATGCACAAAGACATAATACCCTGTACCACAGTGTGGTGAAGGGTATAAAAACAGATGGGTACACAACCATAATTACCACTATCAATATACGTAATTTGTAAAAAATTGCCATAATCTCAAAAATAAATGTCAAATTTTTCTTTTAACATTACAGCGTTCAAGAAACCGATGGCTCCTATTTTGAAAATTTCACATCGCTGGGATGGAAACGGGAAAACCGCCGTATGTCGGCAACGCGTGCCGCTGAGGCACGTGCCGAATCACTTCATGAGCAGGAACGTGAGCCGCCAAAAATTGCTGAAGATTCTATCGAAAGTCAAGAGCAAAAAGAAAAGCTATATTTGGAAGTATTGAATACCATTGCCAATACTGTGGGTGCATCAGCACCCGGTGGACAGGTAAGAAGCAATAACGAAAAACGACAAAGAAAACATCCGAGTTAATTCAAAAAGAAAACAGCTTATAACATTATTAAAAGTAAACATTATTATGGCTGCCATCAAGGTAAACTGATAAGGTTATGTATGAAATGGTGGTAATGTGTGTGCGTGCGTGTGTGTGTTTTGTTCAATGGCAAGCAAAAGAAGAATATGATAGTGATAATGCCATAACCACATCCTTGGGCTGCCAATTTCATTCCCCGCCCTTCTTTCTTCGCTTCACCTTGAAATGGAAACTAATTATTACTATTATATTATTTTTACTTTTCTTGTCTTTAAAAGGAAACAGCATCTCCACCCGACCAACAGCCACCCACCACTTGCCCCATTGACAGTTTGTAATAGAGATGTGTATCTAAGGAAAAATACTTTTCCATTTATATATAGACATTTCCATTATGTACATTCTCGTTCCTGGTTAAATTTCATTGTTGTATAACTCTAAATTATAAGAACAGAAGAAATAATTGAGAGAAGAAGTGGTTTTGAAAAGAGAGAGAAGGGGGAGAGAGAGAGCTAGGTAACAATGCCAAAATTACCAATTTATTGAAAATAATTAATTGGCTTTTCTTTCATAATAGTAACTTGTGAAATCAATATTGGTTTTCATTTTTTCATATTGGAATTGGAAATAATTTCAAAACCACCACAAGAATAAAACTGTTATAATTAGGATGGATCAGCACATGGAGAAAATTTATAATGTATCAAATAGGTTTTTATAATGTCGACGCCTCCGAACCATAGTGTGCTAGGTCGACTTAACATGTTTTAAAGTTCTTAACGTTTTTAGATACTACGGTCCTTAATTTAAATTCTCTGAAATTTTGGTTTGGATTGGCCGATGCCAAACCAAAGTTATAAGCAAAAATATACTTAGCATGGCACGTAACATTTAAGAAACGTCCATACTTTGAGAGCTTCTGCTGAAAAACTCACTTTTCAGACTTAGCAGACTATTCTTCGAAGGCGTCGATGTGTCAAATAAGTTTTTATAATGTATCAAATAAGTTTTGCAGTAGTATAGTAATTTGGTTGGATAACGGTATCGAACATCGAACAACCTTTTGGAAGCCATTATATATTATTTGTAATCAGCTGGACTGACAGGTATTGTTTGGCCCATTATTAAATCCCCGTCGGAATGCCAATTTGTACTCGCCCCACTGTAAGCCTTCTCTTCGAATATATTCAATAGAAGTCCATAATTTGACATAACACCTATAAGAGATTTATCCCATTTTTATGGTCCGAGTATAATTATTCATTCGGCATGTTTTTTTTTTGACATTTTATGTTCTGACAGAAAATGATCAAAAGGCTCCAATTTTTTTGAAATCCTCCCTTTCGGTATTTTGAAGGAATTAGTCGCATGATACATTTTTGAAGTAGCCCACGAATAATTGACCCGACCAAATTTCGGTATATTGAAAGGCCTAACTTAAATTTTGGTACTTTGAAAACGTTTACCTTGTTATGTTCTTCACTTGCAACAGATCATTCCATTTTGCAACTCCTCCAAAAAAGGTTCGTCTGATGAAATCACAATAAAGCTCGCAAGATAAATCTTTGATCTTTAGCATATACATTGTTATGACTCCTAGGATGTTTGGTATTGAAAATGGGATGTATATGTTTACGTTTTGGTATAACCCCAGAATAACATTACACCCAAATATTAAGTATTTTTGGATTTTTGGCACATTTTTCAACCGACTGGCTGAAAATTCCCCTTCCTTCAATGATCGAATTCGGCTCAATTTTTTGATAGCTCCCATATGTCACTTAAGGTTCTCAGAGGAGGAGATTTCAATGTAGACCCTACACAACAATGTTGTCAAGGTATTATAGCTTTGTGCAGCCCCAATAGCATTATTTATATTTAGGAGATGAAATGGACCAACAACATTATTTTTGTTTTTTTTTCCGGTCGCTCTGTAGGCCACTGTTATGTCACAAACACCAGAAAAGGAGTCTGGCCAAAAAATAAGCATGCCTGTTTTTATGAAGATCGGTTAATAGTTAGTGGGATGTTGAGATGATGCAATGAATGGAAAACATTATTTTTGTCTGGTTTTCTATAGAGGCCATTATTATATGAAAAACATCTGAACATCTGGATCTGACCAAATACTTAGAACGGCTGTTCAGATGATGATCGGCCAATATTCTGAAGGTCAAATGAACCGAAACCTAAACTACCCAAATTTTTAATTTAAGGCATAAATATTCACCTCGAAAAATATGCCAGTGTTAGAAAATGGAGCTGTTGTCCTGTAATCGATCAATAGGGTGCAAATATCGCGAAATATTAACCAGGCTCATAATAGAACATGCTTCGAATGTCCGATTTTAGCCAAATATGCACCATTTTGTTGCCATTTTTAAAGGCATTTCTCGATCATTTCGACGTCCGGCCTACCTATGCGAGCTGCATTTTTAACATCAAAAATTCCTGAACCAAAATTGCACATAATTGGCTGTTAAAGTATCGGAATCATAAACACAATTCACAATTTTAACCGCTTGGCTTGCATTTTCATTTTTGCTAAAGAAAAACTGTAGAATGATCGATACTTTACGAGAAATCTATTAATGCAGCCATCTGCCGAAAAAATAATCGATTTATTTTTCCGCATATAAATATATTCCCAACATATGAAGCGTCAAACTTTTTTTAAAGATTCTGGCCGAATTTTCTTACCAAATTTTCTTTACATTTCGGATTTCTTTAGAGTACAACGTGTCTTCTCCCTGAATATTTATACCCTTCACCACACTGTGGTACAGGGTATTATGTCTTTGTGCATATGTTTGTAACAGACAAAAGGAAACGAGATAGACACATGGTTCCTTTTGAGAATATGCATAGAATCACTTTCTGAGTCGATTTATGCATGTCCGTCCGTCTGTAGTTGTTAAATTGTAAACAAAGTACAGGTCGCATTTATGATTCGATTTGGATGAAATTTGGCACAAGTCACTTATTTGGCCCAAGGACAAACCCTATTGAAATTGGGAAAATCGGTTCAGATTTAGATATAGCTCCCATATATATTAGTCCGATTTAAGGTAAATGGGGCACCAAAGTCCGTCTATATCTCTCGATTGGCACGAAATTTGGCACAGAGTACTGAATTTGGTCCAGAATGATTTGTGCCAAATTTCGAGAAAATCGGTTCAGATTTAGATAGAGCTCCCATATATAGTTTCGTCCGATTTGAGGTAAATTGTGCACCAAAGTCCCTACATATCATTCGATTTGCATGAAATTTGACATAAAGTACTGAATTAGGTCAAGAATGACGTGTGCCAAGTTTCGAGGAAATCGGTTCAGATTTATATATAGCTCCCATATATATTTTCGTACGATTTAAGGTAAATGGTGCACCAAAGTCCTTATATATCTTTCGATTTGCAAGAAACTTGGCATAGAGTACTGAATTATGTCCAGAATAATGTGTGCAAAGTTTCGTAAAAATCGGTCCAGATTTAGATATAGCTTCCATATATATTTTCGTCCGATTTAAGGTAAATCGCTCTCCAAAGTCCCTATATATCGTTCGATTTGCACGAAGTTTGGCATAAAGTGCTGAATTAGGTCAAGAATGACGTGTGCCAAGTTTCGAGGAAATCGGTTCAGATTTATATATAGCTCCCATATATATTTTCGTCCGATTTAAGGTAAATGGGTCTCCAAAGTCCCTATATATCTTTCGATTTGCACGAAGGTTGCCATAGGGTACTGAATTGGATCCAGAATGATGTGTTAAAATCGGTTCAGATTTAGATATAGCTCCAATATATATTTTTGTCCGATTTAATGTAAATTTTGCACTAAAGAACCAAAGAATGGCCGACCAGCACACAATTTTGTACAATGTACTGAAGTTACTATAACCTTTCATGTGTCAAGTTTTCTTGAAATTGGTTCATTGCTTGCTTGATTGATATTACATTTTAAACAGTGAAGCATAAACAGTGAAGTTTCACAAAGTATGGAATAGATTGCAGAATGGCATGTGTAAGGATTGATGTTAGTCGGTTTACTTTTATATAAAGATCGTATTTTTAAGTTCGTTCAATTTCATGTCAATGTTCCTTCAAAAAAACGACATCTGTAAAGATACATATGTAGAATATCCCCAAAGTGGTGAAGGGTATCATATAGTCGGCCCAGTCCGACTTTACTACTTTCCTTACTGGTTTTATTCTCATTTAACCTATGTGGCTGTAATTTAGTCCTTTTTTAACTTAGGTAGTTTTAAGATATTAATTAAAGTTGTATTAAATTTAGTTTTTTTTTTTTTTTGATACGAAGTTACAGAATACTTTACTTATATCAGCGCTACGCACCAACGGCATACACACTATACTAGTTCCATCCTTGTAGTCGTTTTCTTTTTATTTCTTAATCTACCCGTTCCAAATTTCCAAAACCAATGGTTCTGCGTCCTACGTTTGTTGATTCGTCGTGTTAGATAGTTATTTATTTCTACCTTCGTATTAGTTAGTTGAAGTTCTAACGCACTTGTTGAACTATCTCCTCTTCCTCCTCTTCGTTTTCACAGATGGACGAGTCGACAACCACGTAAACTACCAACAATCATTTATTTATTTGCCTTTTTTTAATTTTCAGTTCACCCATTATAAAGATGAAATGTATTTGCATGCACAACGAGCATTTGGCATGAGTCCAGATCGTCATTATCGACTGTTGCATGCCACGGCTGAGGATAAACCAAAAGTTATCGTCCTGTCGGTGGTGGTCATTGAGGCAGAGGGGCTCGAAGCCAAAGATGCAAATGGTAAGTATGAAAAAGAAAACAGAAACAAAAAAAAAATGGAAAACAATTCGAAAACAAATGAATTGGCTATTAAAACAAACAATGTGTAAAATGAAAACATTGAATTACAGTACGGACTTCATTGGTAATAAACCTGTAAAGCACAAGTGTAAAACACATGGGATTCTGTAACATCTGATTAATATGTCGATTCGAATCCATTGAATTACATGAAATATTGAACAATTATAGGAATACTTGATTTCAATGTATTACGTGGTGGGAGAATTGAAACGAATACCATTCATCATAAGGTTGAGTGTATGCGAGGGCTGCTAGATTTATTTATAGGCTATTAATTAAAATTCATATATTTATCATTAAAAAAGCTTTATTCGCCCATGTGCTGCATTTCGAGTTTGCTCAAATGTGAAACATTTTCCCAAATTTGGTGTGCTCCATTCCGAATTCCAAAAAAATATTGGGAATATAATTCGAGCACATATTGCCTTGTGGATTGAAAACGAAATGAGATCGTACGTGTTTTTCTGAGCACATACAAGTTGAAAAAGAACGCTGAAGTAATATTTAACGTGTTTTACCAAAATGTATTTAAAAAATACAGTATTTACATTAGTTTTCATAGTAAAATTAAAGAAAATAAAAAGGGCTCCTTTTATCAAAAACAGCGCGTAACATTTTTTAGATCAATCTGGCAACTCAAACACCATATTATTAAAATAAAAATAGAATCTATAAAAAATCTACTTTTAAGATTTCCAATAGTCCTTTTAATAATGTTTCTTGCAGATGTGTGCAATTTATTATATCGATGTTGCTCCACTTGTTTATAGGGCAAAATTTTTGTCTAAAGCGTAACCACTGTTCCTAGATGCCACCTATTTTGCATGCCATTTTCTCTTTTGTTAATGCTGCCTAGCTGCATTCATATGCCAAATAAAAGCATCATGGCTGGATCCTGGTCTGCAGCTGTCCGCAGCTTGCACACACCTTGTCTTCCAGGACTTTCATTACCCTCCACAATATTTTACACATTGTTGTGAGATCAACATTTATATTTAAATCATTTGCCACTACCCTCTGAAACCCACCAACAGCCAGAAATCTTATGGTACCTGCTAACTGGAGGAATGGCACCCTTGTGTATGAAAGGACCCACTTCTCTCAAAATATCCATAAATGCTTATTGTAACACGTTCCAGTATCATTAGACTATTTCTGGTAGAAACCAGGGCAATTAATAAGCCAGTAGGCATATTTTTCTTAATTTTGTTGGTAAACAAATTGCAAATACCAATGAAACATATGTTTTTTTATTGAACACATTTCGTAACATATTGAACACAGCTATGCTTTCGAGCCGCACTTTCGCTCGAAATTGAGCACACCATTTTGCACAACATGGGAATTTAAAAAAGTATGGGAATTCAAAAACTCTCGGAACATGTTACATGAACGATTGTTTCTCTAAGCATTTTTTTATTCAATGTATATAATTTTTGTAATGCTAGCTTGTTGTTTATGCCATCAACAACCCGAATTTGTTAATAATTTGAAATAATCGGGTTTCTAAATGTTGAACAGCGCAATAAACCGATAATAGTCTGGTTCCATAAATTTAGCGGGTTTGTTTATTTGTTTTCTAATGATATGCATATGAGCCGGGTTTTTATACCCTCCACCATAAGTTTGTTTTTCCGTTTATAACTCATCGAAATAATAATTTCCGATCCGATAAATACATATTCTTGATCAGCGTAAAATTCTATGACGATTTATGCATGTCCGACTGTTGTAATTACTCTAGCCTCTAAACGAATTTGCATAGAGTTGTCTTTTGTCTGCAAGGAGGTCAAGTTGGAATTTGAGTTGTACTGGTTCACGTTTAGGGTTCTTATTATACCCTTCACCACACTGTGGTACAGGGTATTATGTCTTTGTGGATATGTTTGTAACAGGCAAAAGGAAACGAGATAGACACATGGTTCCTTTTGAGAATATGCATAGAATCGATTGCATGTCCGTCTGTCTGTCCGTCCGTCCGTCTATGTATTTTTGTTAACAAAGTACGGGTCGCATTTATGATCCGATATATATTTTCGTCCGATTTTAGGTAAATAGTGCACCAAAGTCCCTATATATCCTTCGATTTGCACGAAATTTAGCATAGCGTACTGGATTAAGTCTAGAAAGATGTGTGTTAAATTTCGTGAAAATCGGTTCAGATTTAGATATAGCTCCTATATATTTTCGTCCGATTTTAGGTAAATAGTGCACGAAAATCTCTATATATCCTTCGATTTGCACGAAATTTGGTACAGCGTACTGGATTAAGTCTAGAACGATGTGTCTTAAATTTCGTGAAAATCGGTTCAGATTTAGATATAGCTCCCTATATATTTTCGTCCGATTTTAGGTAAATAGTGCACCAAAGTCCCTATTTATCTTTCGATTTGCACGAAATATGGCATAGCGTATTGAATTAAGTCTAAAACGATGTGTGTTAAATTTCGTGAAAATCGGTTCAGATTTAGATATAGCTCCCATATATATTTTCGTCCGATTTTATGTACATGGTGCACCAAAGTCCCTATATATACTTCGATTTGCATGAAATTTGGATTTATAAGTTATTGAAGAACTCAAAAAGTTGCCGAATGCATAAAACATACTGAAATAAGTGTAACCTAACATGTGACAAGATCTGATGAAATTTGTTTAGATTTCGATATTTTGCTTTAAATTTATTTACATAATTTTTGTCCCATTGTAAGAAGCAACTCTATATCTGACCAAAATTTAGTATAGGTTGCAGAATGACATGTTTATACCCACAAAAGCTACAAAACAATTTTAGCTAGTCAGCAAAACATCATCGCGCCTTATATGCGAACTTTGACCTATGGGTAATTTTTTCTTTTGGGGTTTTCAAATACCCACCAATGTCTTTCATCCCCAATTTGAATTTCCACTCCTACAAAATCTTCTCACCCACTGAAATGAATATGCTGTTTATTAATTATAATATAAACTGTATACCTTTCATTTATTGTAAATGATTTTGTTGTAACGAATGATTAATATCGCTATTATTCGTTAATCATACGTACCATTGAACAACATTTAATTCCCATTTCAATTCTTAAAGCCCAGACACTTTCAACACCTTTAGGCCACATTTATTGATTCATTTATATTTATAACCTGCTTGCATGCCGCCAGACATAATGGCTGTGCACGCCATGAGTGTATGGGTGTGCGTGCGTGTCCGTGCAACAATTTGCACAAATATCCGTTTTATGCCTTCGAACAAATTTCCATTGCGTGTTCGCTAATATTTAAGCGTGTCGGCTGTCTGTTGATTGTTTGCCAGTAGTAGCAGCAACAAGACATACAACAACAACAGTGCATGCACACACATACATGCATGTTTGCAAATTTCCATTCATAAAACAAAACGTTTAATTTGCTTTGGCTGGCTATTTGCCAACGGAGGCCAAAACTTATAAATGACCCGATGTCAGGTTATACGCGAGTTAGCATAAAATTACGTTGCGGCAATAACCACGCAAATTAACTTCATTGCTGTCAATTGTCATTACTTGTCATCTACTGTAAAATTTTACGCTGTTAATTATGAAACAGAACAAAAAAGAATAAAAAAAGAAATAAAGTGTTAAATATTCCAATGATAATTTACATATTATTTAAATATAACTTCTTTTAAATTCTGTATTGTTTCGAAATAATTATTTTTGGAAGTATCAAACACTATATAAACCATTAAAATAGAACGGATACCCTTAGCACTTTGGATATATACACAAGGTACTCTACACTGTGCAATAAAATTTTGGAGGGTTGAAAATTCCCTTTGGGGAAGAAAGCACTTGGCGATTATATTAAGAACCCAAAATACAAATCCGCCACAAGTAAAGTTTTTGATTTGTGGCGTGACGATTTTTTTGCTGGTAACCCAAAGGCTTTATACATTTGTTTACTTTTTTGCTCGTCTATATTTTCTTGAACTGTACACTAAATACCACAATATCCACCACAAGATACCACAAGGGATCGAAAATTCAAGAAAATTTATGGTACGGATCCAACAATTCTTCATAATCTTCAAAATGTATTATTGTATATAGATGGGAGACATTTTTGTAGTTGATTTGGAGGTCAGAAATCTCGTTTTTATATTGTTTACGATTCAAGGAGCTAAAGAGTAAGTAAGAGTACCTCCCACAAAGGGTCACATTTTACAAACCTGTACATTTAATCTGAAGCGAATTGAATAATCGATTTAAATGCGAAAATGGGGTCTAAAGATAGGGTATAGGGTACCTTTCCACAGGTGGTCAACCCTTTTCTAAAAACATATATCTCATATAAAGCGAAAAAACCTGTGTATATAATTCCGTAGAACTCCGCAAGCTATAGGTTGAGGGTCGGCAACACCGACTTACAATATTTTACTTTTTTTTAAGTCATCAATTCAACATTTGTAATTTTAAATTGAAATCAATTCAACATTTGTAAATTTAAATTAACATAATAAATTTTCTTGGAATTGTTCATTTATATTATTTTTATATTAAATTTTATATTATTTTATTTATTTATTTTATTTTTATTTTAGTTTTTTTTAATAAAAACAAAAAATTCTTCTGTTTGTTTTGTCGGTTATGGAAATTATGCCGAAAATTGGCTTCAAATTACATATTGTCTCTTATTATACCCTACACAACTATGTTGCCAGGGTATTATTACTTTGTGCAGCCCCAAGACTTTGTAACGCCGCGAAATATTGGTCCTAGACCCACCTTTAAGTATACCGATCGTCTTATCTCGACTAGCTGGGTCGATCTAGACATGTGTGTCCGTCCGTCTGTCCATTATATTTTGAAAACACGATACAGCCCACAGTTATGGACCCTATTGTTTTTGGTAAAGATCGGATAATATTTAGGGGATGAAATGGACCAAATATTTAATTTTTGTCGATTTTTCTGGTCGCTCTAGAGGCCGCAATTATGGCCCAAACATCTCGAATTTTTATATGGAGAAGGGGATTGGTCCAAAGAATAAGCATACCTGTTTTGATAAAGAAAAACAGGTATGCTTATGCTTTGTGTTAAAAATGACAAAATTTGTATTCTATGGCGTATATATTTACTCCTGAAAGACATAGAGCCGGGAAGTGGATAGTATATCCAAGGGGAGTGGTTGACCTTTAAATTGATACCAATTATATTGTGGTATGTACTCGGATGTGGGAGTTACACTTACATATTTACAGGTGCTTATGTATTCAGATATTATTTAGTAACCCATAACCACACTAGAGGGCGGAAATATAGCACTGATCGCTTTGAAATTTTCCATGAGGTTCCAGTTATGGTCAAGGACAACGCCTACAATTTTCGGTGATGATCAGATAACAACTCGGGATGAAGTGGAGCGAAATTTTTTTTGTTGGTTTTTTTTCGAGACGATCTATAGGTCACAATTGTAAACCGAAGGGAATCTGGACAAGTAATTAGAGGGGCGTCTGTACTGAATATTAATAATATTCGGAAAATATGTCATTGTAAGCAAGTGGCGCTTTTGAACTCTAATCGGAAAAGAGGGTGCAAATTCGAGAAATATTGCCCAGGCTCGGAATAAAAATCCGCAGAAAGTTAGAGTTACGTGGTAGTTGTGTAGGGTATCGTATGGTCGGCCCCGTCCGACTATACTGCTCCGTTCACTTGTTTTTGATAAACGGTTGGTAACACTGGCAATGACACCCGGATAGCGCCATCTATTGATTTACATGATTGGTTTTAGCCAAACCATTTTTTCAGTTTACATATTTACACTCAATTTTCAAAAAAAAATGACACGGTATTAAATATTATATAATCGATTTCTTTCAACTACAAAAACGGTAAACCTATAAAAACAGAGTACATTCTTATTTTCTGATGATATTACATTCAGAATTTCTTTTGAATTTTATTAGTTTTTCTTACCCACGAGTGTAGGTGTGGGTAGTTGCTTGCTCTCTCTCATGGGTCCTGAAGTATTTTCTTTTTTTTTTTTTTTTGTGGTTTTCTCCTTTCCAGTTTAGTGCCACTAGTGCGAATATTGTTGTCAAGGATTCAGGTTGGGATGTGGTGCAGGTACACTTAAAGTTTTTATCTGTATTCGTGTATATAGATCGGTATTTGTTCGTTTATACTCTTTCTTGATATTGTTTGGATACGCTGATAAGGACAGGCGAATTTGGTTGCTATAAGCGTTATGTCGTTATAAACAATATGGAATAAATGGCAAAAATTACCTCGGGGGTTTCGTATAAGTCGTTATAAACAATTTCGGCTACATTTGTAATTTACAGAAAATTCGAATTGCAAAATTCAATAAATAATTGCGTGGTTGGGAATCTGCAAGAATTTAACGAAATTGTTTTCGATTTTTCCTTTGTTAATAATGTTACCAGTTTTTGTGTACGGTAACAGGCTATTTCTTTATTGATGTTGTCTGCAAGTTTTTAACGCAATAAGTGCATTTTTTCGGAGTAAATACAAATTTTTCCGTAAAGTAAGGGGTCACGATTTTACGCAAAATGACCATAAAATGTGTAATTATAAAATTAATTTACCAAAACCAATCATGTCATTCAATAGATGGCGCTGTCCGGGCACTTTTAAAAATTAAAGCATACTTTTAGGCGTAGACGGTAATATGAATAAAAACGTCATAATTTTATAAGCAAATTTATTATTTATTTTAAAATTTCAATGATAATGCATGATATTTGTAAAATATATCATACATATTTCAATCAAATACGCATAACATTTCCTGTTAAAATATTTATTCCGTATGCTAGTGGTGGGCATGTGTGCGGCTTCGACTGTAGAAATCCAATCCACTTTTGAAAACACGCGTTGCATGATCTGAAATGAAAGAACTAAGAAATTCTATTAAATTATGTGAAATATAAACGCCATTTATTTAAATATATTCTAAATTAGTAGAGGAAAAAATTATGAGGTCCTAGTTTATGATCTGTTAAGGAATTTAGGGACAAAGATCAACGTTGAATTTATTTAATATTTTCGATCAAAATGTGAGTGTTTTTAGCTTCAGATTTAAGTCTGTATCCAATAGGGTTATGACTGTTTTACAACATCGAATTCCTTTATCACATTTATATGAGTTTTTAGTAAGATTAGACCAATTGTTAATTATTAGGCGATTCTTTTATTTATTTATGGGAAATAAAAAAATTGAAATGGATTTGTTTCAAATAAATGTGGCGTCTAGAACCAATGTTTCGATGAGGCACATTTTTGCCGTAGAAAAGTGTATATAGTCATGAGGGTATAATAAGAAATATCAAATAGCTTGCGTCAATGTTTTCTGAACACCAATTTTCATTTTTTCACAATCAGTTCTAAATTCTCGCACTTTCAAATATATTAACAACATTTTACTTGTTTGTAATTTTTTTTATATTTTTAACTCAAATTGGTTTCCTTTTCAAACACAAAGAATTCAATATTTAAATTTAATTAAAAATTCTTTCTCTATATCTTCCCCTCCCCCATTCAAGGCTTCTCCGATCCATATTGTATGCTGGGCATTCAACCAGATGGTGGTCCACCCGTATCACCATTACCACTGCCACCAACACCACGGGCTCTATCAGCCGATATGAATGCATTCGATAATAATGCCGCCGATTCACCGCCCCACCGTAAGCATAGCTTTCGTTTGAGTTTCAAACGACGCGAAGGCAATCGTCGCGAGCAGCGTGATTCATTGGGTGGGCCGGTACCAGCAAAATTTATATGCGCCACATCAATAAAACCGCACACTCTGACGCCCAAATGGAATGAGAAATTTAAATTGTAAGTACAAAGAAGAAGAAATAACTACAGCATCAATAACAAAACAAGTCGAAACAACCACAACAAGAGAACAACATTTATCTCAAAAGCAATGTTTTGAGTATTTAAACACAATTGTAGAGAAATTTGATTTGCCTAAATTATTGTGATTCTTTATAACATACCACACACTGTGGTACAGATTATTATAATAGACTCATAGCTAATATTGAGGACACAAATCCAATGGATTATTCGATTTGATTCAAAACATTGCACATCCAAAACTTAATTGTATACAAATGTAGGGTATCTTTGGACACATGACGTAGAATGAAATATTCAGAATAAACGCACGGGTTGACTCATATTTGAGTGTATGTTTTTTTATTCAAAAACTTCGCCTACAGTCCTCCACAGCATTTTAGTCCAACACTGTTTTCCTGCACGTGTATACGACACACACACATACATCAGCATATCGTCACTATTACTTTTAATTGATTAAGTGTACGCCAGGAAGTCGGTTTGATGAAACAAAAGAAAATTAAATTTCTGGTTAAAAAGTTTCTTATATCATTTCCCTCTGGTATGCTCTGGGCTAAGAACATCGCAAAGCCAACCAAGTCATTTTAATGAAATAAAGTCAACATTTTGCCTGTGGTTAAGGAAATTAAATTAAGACGTGTCTGTCGAAGTTGTTCGTCATTTATTTTAGTTTTCCAATTTATTGCTTAAACGTGAAATGAAATGATATATATGTACGTAAAAAAACGATTTAGTTTTCTTGTGGTTTTAGAAGCAAACACTAATATAGTTTTTATACCCTACACAACTATGTTGTCAGGGTACTATAGCTTTGTGCAGCCCCAAGATTTTGTAACGCCGCGAAATATTGGTCCTAGACCCACCTATAAGTATACCGATCGTTATATCTCGACTAGCTGAGTCGATCTAGACATGTGTGTCCGTCCGTCCGTCCGTCTGTCCATTATAATTTGTAAACACGATACAGGCCACAGTTATTTACCAATGGACCAAAAACTTTATTTTTGTCGGTTTTTCTGGTCGCTCCAGAAGCCGCAATTATGGCTCAAATACTGCAAAATTTTTGCATGGAGAAAGGGATTGGGATAAAGAAATAGCATGCCTGTAAAGATTGGAAAATATTTAGCGGGTCAAACGAAACCTGACTTTTGTGTGAAAAATTACAAAATTTGTAGTCTATAGCGTACATATATTTATCCTGGAGGGACAAGTTGATAGTATACCCAAGAGGAGTGGTTGACCTTTAAATTGACACCAATTATATTGTCGTATGCACTCAGATGTGGGAGTTACACTTAAATATTTACAGATGCTTACGTATTCAGATATTAATTAGTAACCCATGACCACACTGGAGGGCGGAAATATAGTGCTGCTCGCTTTGAAATGTTCCATGAGGTTCCAGTTATGATCAAGGACAACGCCTATAATTTTCGGTATTGATCAAATAATGATATTGGAATGAAGTGGACCGAAAACTTATTTATTTATTTTTTCTTTCGAGTCGATCCACAGGCCACAATTGAAAGCCGAGAATCACAAAAGAAAACACGTTGGGATTTGTTAACCTCTAGTGGATCAAGAGGGCTCAAACATCGCGAAATATTGCCCAAGCTCAGGATGTAGTACCACAGAAAGTTAGATGTCGGCCCCGTCCGACTATACTGCTCCGCTCACTGGTTTAAATAAAATTTAAATTTAATGGAACATATTCCAAAAAAAAATCCTATGAACACTTTAAATGTTCGAACGAGTCATCGAAAATTGGAATGAACAGATGGGCCATTAGAAACATTGTCTTTGATAGCCATAAGAAAATAAATGCCAAATAAATGCCTTAAGAAAATAAATAACTAAGTTCTATGCTGATTGAGTGATGTCCGTGCTCCCAATGTTTAAGATAGAGCTTCGATATATTTTGCAATACATTTTTAATACTCGTAGGAGATTCGGTATTGAAAATAGAATATAGTATCACGTATAAATCCCCTGGAAATCTTCTTATCCTGCCAGATATGGTCTGTATATTAAATTTGTCATTCTGTTTGCAACACCTCGAAATATTCACCTGAGGCCACATAAAATAAAATATACACAGAAAATTTGTGTACCAAACATGTTCCAAATTTTGAAGCTTTTGGGAGCGTTTTTCAAGCAAACCAGCTGTAATTTGGTATTTTGGTTTCTCACTGGATAGAACATTGTCCTACTTAAAATTATCAATATTTGTCCCCTTTTTGGTAGCTAAGTCGGGTGTTTCAACAAAATATGCTGTAATTTTATATTTCAAATTCTCATTGCTTCAAAAATCTCACTACAAAAAATTATCAATATTGGCCCAAGTTGCCTTGTAGTCCCTATGTAATGCTTCCTCCATTATTCGGTATATTGGACACTTTTTAACCGAATGATTTTACGAAAAGGTCCACAAGCACTGACAAATATCCTTTAGAATTTTCAGTTTTTCAACCTGAGTGCTTGTAATTTTTTTTTTTTGGAGTATGAACAGCCACCACCACATACTACAATAACATAGTCCCCATATAAAGATCCCAACCGATTCGAGGCATTTTGAATATAGATTGTGGTTTTGAATGTAGATTTTATCCCCTGATAAAACGTTGGGCCCGGACGAACTTAACTAGATTTTTATATGCCCCCTACTTCGTTAGCGAATGTGGAAAATATTTAAACATTTATTAACAAATTATTTTATTTTCACAGAAAACTGCATATGTCAGAAAAATTAAATAATCAACACATTAATCTCGACCTAAATTTAATTTGAGTACCAAATATCATGATTCGAGCTCTAAAGGTTCACCCAAATACAAATCTTACCAAATTTAGTTTCATTAACACACTTACCCCGTACATACAGACATACCCCAATCCTACACCCCCACAGTGATCCTAAATCTAAATTTCAGGATTTCAACTCTATCGCTTCATCCACAACTTAAATTGTACCAAATTTGGTACACATTAGTACAAATTTCTAAAACTTCCTACATATCTCAATCTTACACCTCAACAATGATCCTGACTCCAAATTTCGTGATTCTAACTATATTTCTTCATTTAAAATCCAAACTGTACCAAATTTAGTACCCATAAGCAATAATGTCTTAAACTGAGTCCTGACCCCAATCCTACACCCCTACAATGATCCTGACTTCAAATTTCATTGTTCGCGCTCTATCGGTTGACCCAAATCCAAATTGTACCAATTATAGTACGATTTAGTACTTTTCGTAAACATAAGAAAAAAATTTCCAAAACTACGTACATATCCCAATCCTACACTTGAAATTTCAGGATTCCAGCTCGATGTGTATCTCCAAATTAAATTTGTACCAAATATTATACCATATAGTACTTTTCGTACACATGGGTACACGATTTCAAAACCATCTTCTTAAGGGGACCCCCCATTCTCGGGGTCAAACAATTTTTTTGACTTAATTCGAATCTACACAAATTCAAGAATGTCCCTACAAAATTTCAAGTGAAAATCTCAAGAACTCTTGAAGATATAGCCGATTTATTCTGTCAGCATCATGTGACGGCTGAAGGGCTTTTCAAACTTTAAACGTGTTTTTCTCTAAACGAATGGCGGGCACGATAACTCAAAAACCAATAATCCAATCGATTCCAATTTTTTACACGTTTCTCTGTGAGTGTATAGCTATCGTATGAACTAGGATAAAGCCAATCGGTGAAGAACTTCCTTATTTTTAACTTGGTTTTTGGTCAAAAATCGGCGATTTTCAAAAATATTTTTTTAAAGGTCCGCCATTTTTCATACGAGAGCCAGAAATGTACTCTTTCTAACACCTTTGGAATTTTCGGATTCCGATCTTCCAGTGAGGAGTTATCATGCCCGCCATCAAAAATAAGGACATTTCTTTAATTACAAAAAACAACAACAAAACAATAACAAAAATTTGTTATAAATTATTTTTTTCTCTTTTAATCTTCAAATATATATATATATATATATATATGCAAAGTTACATACGTTAACAAGCATTGGTATTGATTTACCAGCCCTTTGAAAATCTTGAAAAATTAAAATCGAGAAAAATGAAAATCGAAATTAAATAGGCTCGGCATCTCAACCCTAATTCGCAGTCCAAAGCTCCTCCGGTTCGCCAAATACAAATGGTTTCACATTTAGTACTTTTCGTACCGTTCTAGTACGAATTTCCAAAAACTTGTCTGTCACCTTTGGACCAGGATTGACCCTCACCAAAAATTTCATGATTCTAGCTTCAGCCTTTTCGTCTGGGCGTTAATGAATCGTTAATCTTTTTTATTGTATAGATTACATTTGGAATTTGAAAAGGACATACTTCAATACTTTAAATTTAAATATTGTCTTTTTTCTTCATCCTGATATCATCTCTTAGTTAGACAATATTTCTCTATTGTACAATTCATGGCGTATACTGAATAAGTGATCTACAATTTATGTATTGTAGTCCGACAAGGTGATTCACGACCATTTGTTTGCTTTTCTTAAATTAAAAAATATATAAGTCTCAAAACTGGCAGATGTTGAAATACCGGGCAATTCAACTTTTACAACACTTACAAATTCAAATCATTAAAGTCTCCGCCAAATTCAATACACCATTTCTCTCTTTCTTACTTCACTTCATATTGCAATCGGAATTTTATTATAATTGAATCGATGAATTAAAATACAACCAGCCAAATCATTTCTTGCAGTTTTTATCTGCGGATGACAACGTATCGGAATATCATAGACCTCAAAATATTTTGTTGAACCATTTTTATACCAAACAATAGCTCCCTGCAGTGGTGAGGCACATACAAATGTCTGATAAGGCATATACACCACCTTGCTGCTGACTTCATCGACATAATAACGATCGGTGGCATAATCTGCTCGAAAAGAATGAATATTAGCAAACCAAATATAGTTTTAGAAAATAAATATATAAATA